GAGGGTCGGCGGAGGAGCCCCGGGGCGGCGGTCTCTGCGACCGCTGCCCGCCGTCTGCGAGGTGTGCGGCCGCCCGCCCGGGGCCCCTTTTGCAGGCTCGGTGACCGGAGTGCGCCGGCGCCGCCTGCCCGGTCTTGGCACCGCCTGCGCGGCCGCGGCAGCGAGGGCCCGGCTCCAGATCCCCGACCCCCGCGAGCCCTGGCTCCATACGTCCGCTATTTGGGCTCCAGCTCCTCTGCATATTTATGATCTCCCGTCACATTGTCTGGCCTCTGGGTTTCCGTTGACAGTTTCCAAAACACTCGAGCAAGAAGGAGCTCGGGGTTGCTGACCTACAGGTGGGGGCGCGGAGGGGAAGCCCGAGGAGCCCGGTGCGTTTCAAGCGCCCGCGGGCGTACTGCACTGTTTTTCGGGATGAGGGTTGGGGTACGGCTTTTGGCCGCCGCGGTGCCCTTGCTCCGTCACCTGGGCGTCCACTTTGCTTAAACGCACCGTCCTTTGCCGCTCTGGGGTGTGACTCCGCACCGAGCGCGGCGTCAAGACCACCAGGCTCAGGAATGGTGCAAGTGAAGATGCTCCGTGAAGGGACCTAGGGAGGGCCTTTGCCACCTGCCTCCCACGTGGTTGCTGCGTGCTCCATTTAGGGTGACTGTGGCGAGTCGATTTGCCAACTTCAGAACTGACCTGTGTCTGTTGCCCTTTTGATTAGCACAAGGAAAACTGTGATTCTTCCCCTAACATTAAGCTGTCTGGAATTTTCCCTAGATCTAAACTTGACAGCCAGCTATAAACAGGTATGAATAGAGCAAAATCGGGCTCATGTTGATTCATCAGAGAACCTTGAGGGTCCTGTTGTCACTAGCGAGGACCTGGTTCCGGACTCTGAGCAAATTTAACAGTGTACGGTCTGGGGCAGCATGCCGAGAGCAGCCACCTGTCAGTCTGACAGCAGGGTAAGAGCCCAGATGAGGGAACAAGATGGACTAAAAAGGCTCCAGAGCTGGCACCTGACCCTGCTTGGCCTCGGAAAAGGAGGAACCAATGCCTTTGGAACATCCTTACCCTTTTTCATAGAACAGTTCACAGGTACACAATTCTAAATATTGCTGTGACCATTTTCATGAAATTCTGTTGTGTTACACTTCGTCAAGGCTGAGCCTTAATCAAAAACAAACGGTCTGGTCAAAACTTCAGAGTCATTTTGAAAATCAAAAGGTAACGAAAATGTTACGCCCTCTAAGATTCCTTATAGCTTAAATTCTATCATTCTCTGATCTTTCATAGTGTAAGACCATCCCTATTCCATTGTTTACTGATCGTCAAGAAGGAGGTAGACTTGTATTGCTTGTTTGTGTCAGCTCTCATTTATCGCCTCACCACAATTAGTGGCGTATTGCCCCTGCCTTTAACTCAACAGGAGCTGGAAGGGAAGGAATCTGAACTCCTGTTTTCTAAGGCAGCCAGTTGTAGGGATGGATTTCTCTCATTTTCTGTATCAGGCCGGAGGAAAAACACTGTTCCAAAGTCTGTGCCTATCATTTAAAATAGTCAGCAAGGAGGAAAGGATCGCTGTGTCCAGACTAGTTATGAAGGTGACACATGCTGAGGAGCAAAGTGAAGACGGGAAAACAGAGACTTGCAGCTTCTCATCAGCTGGGTCTTCCCTGGAGCTGGTTATTTGATTTAATGCTTTGTGAAACTGCCCAATTTCAAACCCATTATGAAGTCATACTAGAAAAACATTTTTAAACAGTATAAAACTTTCATTTCACACTATTCTTCCCTTGTATAGGTTTTGGTCATTAGACAATCAAATACCTTATTGCATACAAAAACTCGTTTTCTTTGGGTTAATTCAACTTACTGCAACTGATTCAGAATCCAGGAAAGGGTGTTTTCAAATACATATTCTAAGTCTCGGTAAGAAATAGTTACACAGCATTGAAGCACCAGGTCTCTGGAAAATAATTAGGAGTTCAGAAACAACGTTTTTTATAACAGGTGTAAAAAGATACAGGCCTAGATTTATAATAGCACCATTAGGAAACAATAGGAATGTTTCAAAAACATGACAACTCTCACCATTAAAGAGACGTCAGATGGCATTCTGAGTTAAACTGTAAGAGAAAAACGATTTTGGGGTGCCTGGGTGGCTCAGTCGGTTGAAGGTCCGACTTCGGCTCAGGTCATGATCTCACGGTTTGTGAGTTCGAGCCCCGTGTCCGGCTCTGTGCTGAAAGCACGGAGCCTGGAACCTGCTTCGGATTCTGTGTCTCCCTCTCTCTCTGCCCCTCTCCTGCTCACAGTCTCTCTCTCTCTCTTTCTCTCTCTCTCTTACAAAATTAATTAAACATTAAAAAAAAATTTAAAAGAAAAACGATTTGGATGACAGTCAGCTACAGCAATTTAACTTAGTTCAACGAAGAGTGAGCTGGTGTGCTATTAGTATGTCACTGTCCTAGCTGCTGATGTAAGAAATAACATTATTGATGGGAAATAGGTTTAATAGAGGAAAGTGAAGAGCAAGAACAAGAAGTTGGGAAGAATCTTATATGTAAACAGCAGAAAAGAGAAAAACTCAAGCTGAAAAACCTTTCTTAAGAAAGGGAATCCTATATTCAAAGTTACATTTTAATATACATGTGTAACAACTTTGATGATATAAATTTAATTAAGAGTTTGTAAAGTTGTTGCATGTATTTTTAATTAAGTGTGTATTCTTGTACCTTCTAATTGTAATGTCTATCATGTGGCTATTGTATTTTGAAAATAGCAAAGCACAAAATATCATTTTTTAAAATAATGGAAATTTGGAAAGAAGTATACACAGTTTAAAAAAATAAATTGCATAACTTCATATTTTAGTAATTAAAGATTTAACAGTTGTGATTTTATGGCTAAACAAAATAAATTGAATGCATTGTGCATGAATCATGGATTCAAGCTCCTGAAAACTGTCATGAAGTCTATAAACTGGTTCTCTGTGCCTTTTCATTGGTAAATGGGCAATACCTATTCTACAATAGAAGCTGAAAAAAAATACTATTTCTACTTTTCTTTCTCCTTTACAGATAATTTTGAATGTTTCCTTTCATTTAAACTTATAGTAGGTTTTACTTTTCAACTACAAAGCATTTTATCTCAATGGCACTTTATATATGTGCCGCTAAAATATGTTTGAAATTCGTTCTATATACTTTTCCTGAGTAACAAAAACATCAAATACTTTATTTTTTTTTAATTTTTTTAATGTTTATTTATTTTTGAGAGAGACAGAGACAGAGCATGAGCAGGGGAGGGGCAGAGAGAAAGGTAGACAGAGAATCCGAAGCAGGCTCCAGGCTCCGAGCTGTCAGCACAGAGCCCAATGTGGGGCTTGAACTCACAGACTGTGAGATCATGACCTGAGCTGAAGTTGGACACTCAACTGACTGAGCCACCCAGGCGCCCAAACTTCAAATACTTTAATGACCTGTGAGGACTCTAAATCAAGAGAAGGCCTGGACGCTCTCTGACTCCAGTTAAAGAGTCTTTTGACCTAAGGTAACACATGTGACCACTCTATGCTTCATTTTCCTTTTCCCCCTATAACATATTGGACTAGATTACCCTCATGGCCTCTTCCAAAATTTGGGGATAAAATCCTTGCAAACCCTTTTTCAGATTCTCGGACTCAGGTTAAAAGCTTGCTATGCCTATATGATGAAGATGTGTAGAAAAGTATGAAATCCTTATTTACAGAATGACTTTGTAATTTGGTCTAAAGTCTGCATGCTGGGTATTAAAATGTGGTAACTTTATTGCCAAAGCATCAAAGACATGTAAGTCTTTAAAGTACCTCCTTTCTGATCTATGCGTTAGTTCTTCATCCCTTTATGAGAACTGATGGGCCCTTGGTGACCTTTCCAGGCTTCACCATAGGCCTCAGGGTTTATGCATTTTATTTTATTTTATTTTATTTTATTTTATTTTATTTTATTTTATTTTATTTTATTCTATTCTATTCTATTCTATTCTATTCTATTCTATTCTATTCTATTCTATTTTATTTCTGAGACAGAGAGAGACAGAACATGAGTGGGGGAGGAGCAGGGAGAGAGGGAGACACAGAATCCGAAGCAGGCTCCAGGCTCTGTGCTGGGAGCACAGAGCCCGACGTGGGGCTCGAACCCACAGACTGCGAGATCATGACCTAAGCCGAAGCCAGTCGCTCAACCGACTGAGCCACCCAGGCGCCCCAGGGTTTATGTATTTTAAACAACTTTCCCATATTGTACCCAGGCATACCTAAGTCTGAGAACACTGCTCTAAGGTGGCATTTAAGAGCAACTGAAATGGTATTTGAGATGATTACTGTTGTACAGTTACTTTTGGGAGTATAGCTTCAAGCACTGGACAGATCTGCAGTTTTAATTCTGTATTTCTTAGTCAAAAATTTACTTCAGTAATGCGTGGCTTTTTCTAAACCATAAATGCCACCTGTCGAATTTGTAAAATGTGTTGCTGAATTTAATTCATCATTTTGTCTTCAAAGGGAAAAGTAAGGGTTGGTATTTTTTTAAAAATTGGGACAGCTTTGCAACTGATGTTCTAAAGAAATAAAATATAGTGCTGGGCCCAGAGCAAACCTTGCAGCAAACTAATGTGAGTTTATTGTATCTCCGAGTTTGAGTACTAATATTTTCTATCTTCGGCAGTCACTTTTGGACTGATACTCGTTAAGTTTTATCCTGTCTGGGCTTTATTCCATGCATTTCTAAAGGATACCAGTGCAGTTTGTTTCTGGTAGATATAGCACAAATTGAATAATGTACCTCTGATTCCAATGTACCTGTTACAAGTTAACCAAAATAGTCATGAGCCAAATCTTATTTCTCAAAGCATTTCTGTGGCACGAGAATATAGGACTGAAACCATTTGTTTCAGACCCTACTGAAAAGTGTATTTTGTTAAAAGGGATATGCCATTAAAAATGCTCTGTTCTGACAACCTAAAGTAGGTTATGTTTATGTAATCAAAGCGTATGAACACAAATCCGTATTTATTAGGCAATAGGGCATTTTGTTCATGATTAGATAAAAGGTTTAGATTTTCAATTTCTGGAAAATTGCAAAGTACTAGTGAAAGGGACCACGGTGATGACTTAGCAAGCTTTCCATTCCAGATTTCTCTCTTTGAAGAGAAAGAACATTGTTCATTTTTCATTAT